GAGGTAGAGTTCACGGCCTTCCCTCAGGATTCCCCGCAGTGTAGGAGATTCACGATTACCCCTCCCCCCGGATCTGCTGCGGTGCGGGGGTTCACGGCTGCCCCGCGTCCCTAGTATCTGCCGCAGCGCAGGGGTTCATGGTCGTGCCCAAGAACCGATAGGTCCACCAAGATCTCAATCTCACCACAGAAGCTTATCTCTCCGACGTGCCCAGGAATCAACGCTGGGCACTCCGTCACACCCGGATAATGACATTGGACGGATTGTATAGCCGCGTCTGTGCCGTGACCTGCTACACTTCTATACACGAGGAAAATGTTCGCATTCGGCAGTGAGGCGCACCTCAACACGACACTGCATTCAACGTGTCGACCGTGTCAACTTGAAAATGTTGAAAATGCTGTAAAAATATCGCAAATGTGTCCAGTATGCTACCTTGTCACGTGACCCGGATTGTCTTCATTTCTTGCAGCGAGAAAACATAAGCTCACCGTGTAACTTGGCAAAAGACTCAAAGCAGAAAAGAATGAAACGGAACGCCGCACTGTAGATAGCGCAGACTGTCTTCCACATTTGTTCGCAAGTCCAGGCAAGCCCGGGCAACGGAAACCAGGGCGCATTTTCCACGGTAGCCGGCGCCCCACACGGTGAGATGCTTCCAACACGAGAATTGCAAACGGGCCTGGCCGTCTCTAAGCATCACACCCAACTCCGATACGGTTCGGATGCGACTCGAATGCAGCACCGACACGGCACCGACACGGCACCAGCACGGCACCAGCACAGCTCCGACATCACCCGGCACGGCACCGGCACAGCACCGACACGGCACGGGCGCGGCACCAGCACAGCTCCGACACCGCCCGGCACGGCACGGGCATAGCTCCGACACCGCACCGGCACGGCACGGGCACAGCTCCGACACCGCACCGGTACGGCACGGGCACAGCCCCGACACCGCACCGGCACGGCACGGGCACAGCTCCGACACCGCACCGGCCCGGCCGGGCACCGGCACGGCCCCGGCACCAGCACGTCTGCCGACGCGACCAGAAGGCAAGACCAAGCGGCCCCGTACCAGACAGAGGACGGAACGCACACCAGGCCGCGGACCCGGGCAAGGGGGGACCAAACTGTCCGGATCAGGGTCGGCCGAGGTGCCGCCAGCTCCAGAGCGGCAGGTCTGCGGACACTGCACCACTGATGCTCACTACGTCAATGAAAACCAGCGCTCTGTAGGCAGGGCATGCCAACGCCGCTGCGAACGTCGGCAATGAGGCTTGAGTGGACCGAACTGGAGAAGTGGTGACCGACGCCGTCAGCTTCACCAGCAGGTTTCGATACAGAATGTTGCCCACGCTTTACCCGAGCCCATGGAGTCGCGGCATTTGGCGATCTCTGCTGCATGTGCAAGCAACTGATTACAGGTTGTCCGCATTCCTAACACCGGCGGTTCAAAACTGAGGAATTCATGTGTACCTCGGCCAGACCGGATACGCTGGCTATGTGGCATTACATGTCTATGACGCTGGGTACGTGAATAGCGTAGAAAAAATAGCACATTCTATTGGCCAGTAATTGGCAGTTTTCAGGTATGGTCTGAAACTCTTCATGAATTGTGTCCTTTCTAGGGCACAAATCATTATTGTTAGCGCAGCGGTGAATTCATCGGCGACGAAAAGCAGATGCATGGCGCTAAAGTGCTTAACAAGAACAGCACATCAGAAACGATCCACACATTACCAGCAGCATTAGCCCCATCGCGTCAGCCAAACTGTTCCACAAGTGTGAAAACGCGAAACTCAAGTGGGGATGTCACAATGGGCATGTGCTCGGAGGACAATAAGGTTTTTTATTCTTTATTTCGCTCTTTGGCATCAGCGTGACTTGCACATGTGCAAAAACAACATGACGGACAGTGCCGCAGCAGCGTAGAAAAATGTGAGGGCTGATTTATCGCCAAGCTTGTCATAAATGTGACGATTGCGCACTCGGGTTTGCGCGAAAGCCTGTAGTGGCGACGGTCCCTCTTGACATTGAACATCTCTTGAAAGACCATTCAAGATTCGCCTATGGATGCTGAAAAACATTTTGACTTCACTTCTCACGGTCACGGCAAACGTGTTGCCCAACAACGCAACATAAATACGTAGCGTTCCATACTAACATGGGCGTATGAACAACAGCGTATCTTTCCTTCTCATTGACTACAAACAATTTTGAACCCTAACCTACTCAGATTAGGGTTGCAAATTGCAACCCTACTCTATAAGCCCCGTTATTTCTTGCAACTATCGCACCACAACGCCACGGTCCCAATGCCGCTGACATGGTTGAAGAGCGGGGCTTAAAAGTGCACGCTGGGAGCAATCTGAGCGTTTCTGTGCGCTGACAGCTAGCAATCCCATAGTACACGGCTGAAAACATTCTGGAAGGTTTGTTTGAAGAAGTGTCTGGGGATCATCCATGTTGACGAGCGTGAGTCATATTACACGACTGTCATATCCAAGGCAACACAAATTCACTACCTTGGTTTTACCAAATGATATCAGTAAAGCTGCAGACGTAAGTTGCCTGTTTTTGTGCTATGCTCGCTTTCAAGCACGTGACAATAAACTTTTGTGGCAAATTAGTCACATCATTCACCGGTGTTTGTGTTAAAACAACTATGTCGTTGGTTTTCATACTTGATTGACTAATTGACGTAAAACAGATATTAAAGGTAAGTAATCCTTGTATTACACAAGTAGCTAAGCACATTTGCGAGTAACATTATGCATATAGATAAGGCTGCACTAACAGTCTTATTCCTCGTTAAGTAACCAGGAGAATAAAGACATAACTAAATTGATATTTTAGCTACATGCCTTGACCAAAACGAAACAGTTTTTCTTTAGTCGTCTCGATAAAGGCATGCAGCCAAAATTGCAATCCAGCTACCTTTGCATTCTCCTAATTAGTGTACGAGAAATAAGGCTATTGGCATTATCTTATTTCATTATTTATGGGTCCTGAAACTGCGAATGGCAATAATTCACGACTACCGCGTAGCCAGTACATTGGCCAAAAGAAAGCTTATTTATTAAACTTGTGGTATGACAACATGAAAATATCGCTTTTCACCAAAACGGCTTGCGTCAAAAAGATGAATCCTAACTGCTGCGAACTTTTATCAATTCCTGTGTTCTCGTCCTGGAAATAACCAACCTTCAATACACCGCATGATACCTGGTAATCCAAGCCATCATATAAATCACTAGAACATACCATACAACCACTTTGTTTCTATCTGCGCGTATGGTCACAAATGACAGTCTACGCAAAAACTCACGTTAAAAGACTACGGAGCGTGAGAGATAAACTAGGTCCTGGACCTTTGCTGGCTAATGAAAAAATTGAAAGTAATTTAAAGGAAGCTGCAATGCTCTATAGATCGCACGATGGCGCACACTGCCCGGCAACAACAGACAGCAACCAAGAGGCATTGATATTACATATGGAGTACAAGGTCACAAGGTCAATATCACGGGAAAATAGACTGCTGAAGGTCCCCGCCCCCGAGCACCCAATATACGATGCTGTGGTAGGGTTGCTCTAATCACGACTATTAAAGCCGAAAGGTGGCAGAGAGCCGTGGTGGGTATCGTGTTGAACGGTGGCAAGGTCGAAACATGCCACCTATGCACATGTTTGGGTATTCAGCCACGGAATTTGCAAATATTCCGAACATGATTTATTCTCAAAAGCCCTAGTGTTGCGAATTTGTCGCTTAGCCTGCATCATTCGCGACTTTGAGCGCAGCTGAAAAGGCGGAGTACTTTCCCAACTCCTTCAATGACTGACATCCTTGCTTGACCAGTATGACCCGCTATGTTGGAGGTCGGCTATGTTCAGCGGAAAACTGACCAAGCCGAACATCTGGCAACTTCCAACCTTTCTTTCTCACAGCAAGATTTTCTGCAAAAGGGAATGCTCCGCATTCGAAAATGTTGAGAACATCAGATATGAAAGGAAAAGTTCACTTGCGGCCATTGGTACGTTTTTGAGTGCAAGACTGCTCTACACAAAAAATCACTATTTAGTGGACATGCTTCTTAACACGACATCGTGATAACGTCACGGAACGTTTTTATGACGTCCAAGTGGCTGCCAGTTTGGCCGTGTCAGAACTGGCATTGCAGCATACGGACAGAAGCGTCCGTGGTAATTCAACCAGCCTCAAGGTGGCTTGTTCATTTGTGCGTGTGAAATTCACCTGCAATTGTTATGTGCGCGTGTTTTGACCCCTTCTCGTGGTGTTTTTGCATACCTGTACGCAACTGTGAACTGTAGCGAATGATCATAAAATGATAACCTCAGTTCAAAACCCCGCACAAAAGTCAAGCAGTCCTTTAACTGCATCAGGACATGGGAAACACCTCTTTTTTCAAAAGCGGAAAGCAAGACATGTCGTCGCGCTCCCTCTACGGCGTGCCGCAATGCAGACTACAGAGGCCGTGCGAACGCTCTGGGGCCATGGCGCAACCGAGGTGTAAGCTCAGGCACCCTACGTGGAAGTCGAGGGCGCCAACTACTCGGCCAATACGTCTTTCGGGTACCTCTAGTACCACTAGGTACCCGAGTGACCCCAACGGACAGGGACTTCGGGTACCTCTCCGCTGTGATGAAGACGATGTTTCCGCGTTTACCACGAATTGTCAATGTTGATTGCTGACCTGCACTATTTTGTAGCAGCGTGGACGAACGGTACGCTAGATAACGTCAATTCATTAAAAACAGCTCGCAGGTTTTCTCGATTCATCTGTGAGGTCGCACGTGAGTGTGAGAGGGGGGGGGCGTGACAGCAACACCTACACACCTTCCTCTGGAGCCGCCCATCAATCGCGCTTCCCCGCGCAATCGCGTGCAAGTCAGAAGAAGCACAATACCTATGCCTGGATGCCATTGTTCAAACCAATGCATTGTTCCGGCAAAAACACGATTGTCAAAAAGGTACTCACGTACTGTTGGTGATTGGCGATCCGCAAAGGACATGAAAAAAAAAAACACAAACACATCAGCATGTTACATACCGGGTTGCACACGAAGTACATTCATTTGGACAAAAAATGTGCGTCACTTTTTGCACCAAGGACATTTGAAACCACACCGCCACTAAATAGCAGCTTGAATGCAGTGAAAACGCAGCCAGAGCAAACGCCAGCAGGGGTCGGACGCAATCAGGAGACCGGAATTTGGCCTTGTTAAGCATCTTCCAAAATGCTGAGCCGGCGTCTCTGTTACCAGCGCCGACGTCATCGAATCCCCTGAGCGGACACCAGTCCTTTAACGCGACACGTGACATGTGACCGCACGCCACACGTCATAACGCATGAAGCACGCCTCGCGCCACGTCATCTGTTATCTGATGCCAGCAGGCTGCGGCGGCTCCGTATAAGCCCGCGTGCTGAAGTGGAGACCGGACCGGCGCCGGCGTCGAGAGCGCCGCTGGCACGCGCGGCGACGCTGTCCGGCCCAGTGCCCCGTCACACTGATAACGGCGCGTGACACGCGCGGCGACGCTGTCCGGCCCAGTGCCCCGTCACACTGATAACGGCGCATGACACGTGCGGCGACGCTGTCCGGCCCAGTGCCCCGTCACACTGATAACGGCGCATGACACGCGCGGCGACGCTGTCCGGCCCAGTGCCCCGTCACACTGATAACGGCGCATGACACGTGCGGCGACGCTGTCCGGCCCAGTGCCCCGTCACACTGATAACGGCGCATGACACGTGCGGCACGAACCGCTGGCCACGCTGAGAGGCCGGCGCAGAGCGCACCCGTACTTACACCCTGGTGATGTCGTCCAGAGGACGATGGCGGACAGCGGCAGAGACGGCGACAGAAGCAGCGGCGGCGGCGACATGAAACGGAGAGCATGCGTTGCCGTTAATAGGGGGAGGGGCCTCAGGTCGGCCGCGGGGCATCGGCAGCTCAGCGGGCGGCGCACGTGCCACGGCTGCAGCGTGTCCCCGGCCCCGAGGCCACAGCGTCTCCCCGTCACCTGGCCAGAGTGCCTCCCATCACCTGGCCACAGCGTCTTCCCGTCACCTGGCCACAGCGCCTCCCCGTCACCTGGCCACAGCGTCTCCCCGTCACCTGGTCACAGCGTCTCCCCGTCACCTGGCCACAGCGTCTCCCCGTCACCTGGCCAGAGTGCCTCCCCGTCATCTGGCCACAGCATCTCCCCGTCACCTGGCCAGAGTGCCTCCCCATCACCTGGCCACAGCGTCTCCCCGTCACCTGGCCACAGCGTCTCCCCGTCACCTGGCCACAGCGTCTCCCCGTCACCTGGCCAGAGTGCCTCCCCGTCACCTGGCCACAGCATCTCCCCGTCACCTGGCCAGAGTGCCTCCCCGTCACCTGGTCACAGCGTCTCTCCGTCACCTGGCCACAGCGCCTCCCCGTCACCTGAGCACAGCGCCTCCCCGTCACCTGAGCACAGCGTCTCCCCGTCACCTGGCCACAGCGCCTCCCCGTCACCTGGCCACAGCATCTCCCCGTCACCTGGCGCGGCTGGCCACTGTAGGCACGCCCCCTCACTGCGACTTTGCTGGTCAAATTACCACTGGACCACAGAACATCAACAATTCCTCAACAAGGCACGCTGAGCACGTAATCGGTGGTGCGCATTTATGTTGCACACGAGCTAGTGCTTTGTATGACACACTGAGCACGCCCTCACTCGTGTACAACTAGCATTCAACACGGGTACTTTAGAAGTGAGCGCAGCCTACCGAGCATGTCTTCACTGGCGTAAACCAGTGTTAGGACAACTACTGACCGCCTTAGTGTGGGATTTGCCCCCCCCCCTCCCATCCCCCCTCCGCACACACACACCCGCGGCGCGATGTTCCTACGGAGTCTATTGGTGACGAGATTCGAACTGCCCACACCACGGGCAAATCGCAGATGTACCCAAAGCACAATGCGATTTGGTAACGCAAGAAACTGCACAATAACATGCGGCCGCAATGCACAATAGACAAGGAACGAGCATTGTCTTCCAAGAGTAATATTAACCATATGTAAATTGGTGGCAAAACCCCATGTCGTAAAACGTTCTCACATTTTTGTGACGTTTCAACTACAGACGCAACTTTCTACACAATATCAGTCCGCAGCACAGCCCGCCGCGTCCAGCTAGTGATCCAGCCCGCAAAAGGCAAAAAAACAAACAAACAAAAAACAAAAGCCGCAAAAAAACTAAAGAAAAAACAACAGGGCCAGAGCTAGCCTCTTAAATGGTGTTTGCTATCCTTAAAGAAAATGGTCCACACTTGAAGACATTTAAGCAACCATTAGATATGATGCAATAAACCCACTCATAGCTATTTATATTTTTCACGTGGATGCCGCTTAAGACAACACGATTTCTCCGCTTAGCAAATACGCTGCTCAATGCGCCATTATTTGAGTACGTCATCGTACCTTGCACAACCTTGATTGAGAGCCGATTGACGACCGTTAATCTGGAAGTCGTGTTCATGAACGTCAGACATAAATGACTCAACAATTACATTTTCCTAGGCCTTGATCGCCGCATGGCCAATGGAATGGCAGAGCTGTGAACTGCACCGAATGATCATCCGGATGGCTACTTTAGTTCCAAACCCCACACAAATGTGGAACATTCCCTACATAAATATATCGTGCAGCACCAAGTATAAACCACATAATAGCTTTAGAATCACTCTACAGTTCTCTCTTACCACTGTCTATGTTCCATCCCATAACCATCGCCGCATCGTTGGTGTGATACGGCGTGAAAGCAAGGATAGCAATAATATTTTGTTCAGGAATATCTACTCAATAATTGACACATCCTTGACATTTAGTAACGTATCTTCTTCAGACATGGATAGACGAACTCTATGCCACCACTCTTTCAACTGCTGCGCATTTGATACACCTTGATGTGTGAGTGAAGCCAGGGTAATGAAAGGCTCACAGTTTACCATGCGTTTCATTGATTATGGGTTGAGTGTACCACAACTCCCCAATGACAGCCGAGTGTTTTGTGTATATATCTTGTGTGTGGTGGCACAATCCACTTTTTCGATGATTTTAGAACTTAAGGAAAAGCAAAATGCATTATTTTGCTGGTTCAAATTTTTGATCCGCAAAACCCCGCAACCTGGCCCATAACCTAGTCCAGCTTCCAAGAATTGCCGACCTTGAGTATAAGGCAACACCCCATGTGGAGGAATTTTTCACTCCTTTTCCCCACATTTTATGTGAATTTTTCACTCATACCAGATATGGTCTTACCACACATACCAAACCGATATTCTCATTTCAGAGGTTTTAAGGTGTCATCCAAAACCGAGCTCACTTGAAACCATCAAGCATAAACAAGGCTACACAGAACCTGGACGCCCAAGGCTATATCCTGCTTCACCTAGCTCTCAATCATGCGTATGCATGTACAAGGCAAGGGCACCAGGTACCTTCAAGCCGAGAGCCTCAGCGACTCCAGCCGCTTGCATACATCAGGTTTGGATTGCTTGACTCCTAAGCTCCAACTTTTGTGACTGGAATTTTTCATTCCCGTTCAGTCTTTTTACGACGGAATTTGTCATTCCATCGCAGAGAGGGAGGGGAGAGGAGAGGGAGCGTAAGAGAGAGAGGGGAGAGAGAGAGAGAGAGAGAGAGAGAGAGAGAGAGAGAGAGAGGAGAGAAGAGAGAGAAGAGAGAGAGAGAGAGAGAGAGAGAGAGAGAGAGAGAGAGAGGACGAGAGAGAGAGAGAGAGAGAGAGAGAGAGAGAGAGAGAGAGAGAGAGAGAGAGAGAGGAGAGAGAAGAGAGGAGAGAGAGGAGAGAGAGAGAGAGAGAGAGAGAGAGAAGAGAGAGAGAGCGAGAGAGAGAGAGAGAGAGAGAGAGAGAGAGAGAGAGAGAGAGAGAGAAGCGAGAGAGAGAGAGAGGAGAGAGAGAGAGAGAGAGAGAGAGAGAGAGAGAGAGAGAGAGAGAGAAGAGAGAGAGAGAGAGAGAGAGAGAGAGGAGAGAGAGAGGAGAGAGAGAGAGAGAGAGAGAGAGAGAGAGAGAGAAGAGAGAAGAGAGAGAGAGAGAGAGAGAGAGAGAGAGAGAGAGAG